CAAAGGGGCTGCACCATTTTTTCATTCCCACCAGCAATGACTGACGGTTCCTGTTTCTCCATATCCTCCACAATATTTATCATCAGGCTTTCTGATTCTTGTCATTTTAGTGGGTGTGAATTGATACCTCCTTTTGGTTTTGATTTGCATTTCCCTAATGGCTAATGATGTTGGATATATCTTGATTTTCAAATGTTGGAATCCATTCAAAATTTTAAAATGCTCTATATCAGCACTACACAGATGGAAAAAAATAGGTTAGAACAAAACAGGGTCATGGGCTGGAACTACCCCAAGGGAATGAATTTGGACTTCTGACCTAGACCCTGTCAAACAATGGTTTGTGAACTCTTCTGGGGATAAAAACAGCTTAGACTTCTAGCAAAAGCTTCTCTGGAGGGGAGGGGGAGAACTTCTCAATCTTTTATAGTGAGCTTGTAGACAAAAAAAAAAAAAAGAGTCAATTTATCAATGGATTTATTCATAATGCCAGATTATTTTTTTCCCAGTAAATCATTTTGTTACTTATTTGTAGGATGAGTCCTTTAGGCATATATTTCTGTCTCCTCTTTCAAAGATGAAGTTAATTAATGTGTCAAAGTTTATTAAACTTCTTGCCATTGAGTCGATTCTGACTCATGGTGACCCTATAGGACAGAGAACTGCCCTGTAGGGTTTCCAAGGCTATAAATCTTTACAGAAGCAGATGGCCTCATCTTTCTCCTGCAGAGTGGCAGGGGGGTTCGAACTGTTGATCTTTTGGTTAAGGCAAAGTGTCTTAACCACTTTGCCCCCAGAACTCCTCAAAGGTTATTAAACACGTAGTGAATGGCGGAGTTGGACTCAATGCCAGGTTTATCCGGTTCCCATGTTTCCCTCACCATGCTCTCTATTGCCTGTCCGAGAAGTGTGTTGGTCACACTGTGCTTCAAGAAGCATCAAATGGCAGCAGATTTGGGGATGGAGGTACCTGGGAGGAGACTGGAGTCAGGAGCTTGCCTGCAAAGGATGACAGAAGTGGAAGGAGGCTAGATGTGGAGAGCTAGGGAGAGGAAGGAGTCAAACAAGTGTCACCATTAGTTTCATTAACCAAGAAAGGAAAGTCTGGAAGCAAGAGAGCGCAGGTAGTGGGATGACAGAGAGGTGGGAAGAAGATAGGTTTGGGAGCAATTGCATTTGCAGTTTCCCTCCCATCCAAGTAGAGGTGTGTAGCAGATAGTTGAAAATGTAGGATCCATATGCTGGAGAGAGGCCAGGGCTAGAGATACATTTGAGATATTCATTTTATCATTGATTTATCATCAAGACTAAAGTCTTTGTGATGCTTAACTCTGGTGAGTTTCTGCCCTCCTCTTCTAATGGTCCATAGAGTTTGAAAGTTTCAAAGTTATGAGTAACTATGGGACTGGTGTGTGTGGCTACTCTAAGCATGGAATGCTGCCTTCAGGAGCAACTTTGGTGAATGACAAAGCTGGGGTGCAGGCCTTATAAAGTCTTTGGTGTTCTCTGTTGTGTGTTGTTGATTGCCACTCACTAGAAAACAAGCCAAACCCATTGCCTTTGAGTAGATTTCAACTCACAGTGATCCTATATGACAGAGTAGAACTGCCCCATAACATTTCCTTGTTGTAATCAAGACCAGACGGCCAGGTCTTCTCTCCTGTAGAGTAGCTAGTGTGTTGGAACCGCTAACCACTCCATTAGCAGCTGAGCACTTAACCACTTCTTTATGAGGACTCCTTTGGTCCTCTCTAACCACATTTAAAATTTCAGAAGAATGGTTCTTATCTGTGATAGTTAAGTTTGTGTGTCAACTTGGCTGGGCCTGGTTGAATGACTGGACAGTTGGATGTAGTTATTCCCCATGATGAGATTGGTAATTAACTCCATGGTGGAATCTATTGGAGCAGCTGAGTAACTGCTTTGGGTATGTGGTCTGCTTCCTGTACATAAGAAACAGCTTTGGGAATGGTCTCTAGCTTATGGCACGCTTGAAGCCCGCATGTAGCCATGTTGTTGCTCAGCAGCCTGCCAAGCTCTGCTGACCTCAAGGCTTTTGATGGACTTGAATTAATGGCCTGCCGTGTGGTTTGGTAACATCGGGACTGTGCCTTTTTACTTGTCGACCTAGGGTTTGTCATCTCAGCAGCCAGCAGCTGTCTGAGTAAAGAAAAGCCTCTAGCTCCAGTGGGCCAGGAGCAGAAGGCAGAGCTGAAGCTCAAGGTTGAGGGGCTTTCACCCAACCCCTAGAGCCTGGCACTCTGAACTCAGACTTACAGCCTCTAGACTGTAAGGGAATGAACTCCTGTTTGTTCAAACCAAAACCAAACCCAACTCACTGCTGTAGAGTCCTATCTGACTCATAGTGACACCTCCTTGGGTTTCTGAGGTGGTATCACTACGGAAGTAGATTGCCCAACCTTCCTTCCAAGGTGTGGCTGGTGGGTTTGAATGACCAGCCTTCTTGTTAGCAGTCAAAATGCCTTAGGCACTATGCTACCAGAGGTCCTCCTGTTTGTTCAAGCCATCCCATTTGTGGTATATTCTTGTCAGAGCGGCACCAGGTAACCAAAACATTATCATTCATGTTATTATACAGTTGGCTAATATTCCCTGGAGGAGCTCTGCTAGCATAGTGGAGAAGCTCTGGTAGCATAGTGGCTAAAGCACTTGACTGCTAACCAGAAGGCTGGTGGTTCAAACCCACCAGCCACTCCTCGGAAGGAAGGTTGGGCAATCCTACTTCCGTAGTGTTACTGCCTCGGAAACCCAAGGAGGGGTCCCTATGAGTCGGGGCTGACTCGATGGCACATAACAACAATATTCCCTGTAGGAGCTCTGGTAGAGTAGTGCCTAAGGCACTTGACTGCTAACCAGAAGGCTGGCGGTTCAAACCCACCAGCCACTCCTCGGAAGGAAGGTTTGGGCAATCTATGTCCATAGTGATAAGGTCTCAGAAACCCAAGGAGGGGTCGCTATGAGTCGGTCTGACTCGGTCTGACTCGATGGCACATAACAACAATCACTACAGAAGTAGATTGCCCAACCTTACTTCTGAGGAGTGGCTGGTGGGTTTGAACAGCCAGCCTTCTGGTTAGCAGTCAAGTGCCTTAGGCACTATGCTACCAGAGCTCCGCCTTGGAAACCCAAGGAGGGGTTTGGTCTGACTATGACTATGGTCTGACTCAAGGGCACATAACAACAACAACAGTATTCCCTGTGCACATTGCCTAAGGACAGCCAAGTCACAAGACACATGGACAAGGGGAAGCTGCCCCAGCAAGCAGGTGTGGGTGGAGAACCAGGAGGACAAAGGGACAGTGCAAGGGACTGATTCTGATTTCCCAGGAAGGACCCTGTGCTCAGCTGAATTCTACCAGCCCTTCCTCATCATTTCTTGCCTTATTTTGTTTTATTCACTTTTACATTGTATCACATGTATTAAAATACACCCATATCCCACATTAAATTTCTACATCTGACTGTAAAGCTTTCGGAAGGATTTTCATAAGTTTCGTTTTTGTAGGAATAATTGATTTTCATCTTGTAACTTAAAATGTATTATGTTTACATATAATTATGTAAGAGTTGTGTTGCAGTTGACTAGATTCTGCAGACCGTTTCATTAAACATTTATTAACCTTGATTTTTCCCACACATGCACGCACGCACACACTGCTGCCGAGTCGGATCCCACTCACAGCGACCCCTCCTTGGGTTTCTGAGGCGGTATCACTACGGAAGTAGATTTCCCAACCTTCCTTCCCAGGACCACCAGCCTTCTGGTTAGCAGTCAAATGCCTTAGGCACTATGCCACCAGAGCTCCTTTGATTTTTAACCAGTTTCCTTTATTTTGTGGTTTGTGTATTTCCGGTCTCAAACGTTTTCTAAGACCCTTGAAAAGCTCAGGCTCTATAGGATACCATAGCCTTGCAGAAGCCCAGTCTTGTATTCCAAACCCTTCTATTCCAACCCCTCACTGCCCCTCTCACGCACAGAGTGCTATTTGAGGAATGAACGAATTAGGTGAATGAAGTCCTCCCCTTCCCCCACAGTCATCTCAGCAAGTTGGTTCGCGGGTCATTATTATTCTGGAATTCAGCCCTGCGTGAAAGCTAGGTAGGGAGGCCTGCCCTCGCTAGCCCCAAAACTGAGGCAGCAGAGGAAGCCGTCAGGTGCCCAGCGATTCGTCAGCCTCGGCCGGGTCAGCCCCGGAACCGGGGTTCGCACAGTGGACCGAGCGAGCGCTGTTAGGGCACCAAGGGCCCCGCAGAGCCTATGCGCATGGGCGGAGCTACACCCCGAGCCCTGCCTCCCCTCCCCCACTGCAGGTGAGCCGCAGAGAGCGGCTCCCACCCCCCGCAGCCCCGGGGGTGACGTAAGGCCTCTGGACCGTGCTCCGGCCCCGCCCCTGCAGGGAGGGCCGGGGGCCGGCGACAATGCGCTGAAGCCCGTACTGCAGTGGGACACGCTAGCTGCGGCAGAGAGACTGGCAAGGCGCTCCAGTGGGCTAAAGCTGCGGGCCTGAAGTAGGCCAAGCCGCCTCCAGTCGGACCTCGGGGCGCTAGAGGACCGCCACCATAGCACACCAAACTCACGGTCCGCACCGCCGAGGACAGTGCTGCACACCAGCCGCTGCAGGATCCGCACCCGCTGCCTCGCGGGATTGCCGGGCACACTATCAGTCTCAGCTGTCCATCTCCGCGAGAGCCAGCCAATCGCCTGCGACTACCCCGGCCGCACCTCCCGGAATCGATGATGGGCGTCAACGGCAGCCTATGAAATCTGGGCTCCGGTTGACTGGGCTGGGAGTGGGAGCCAATGAGCATCATCTCAGGTGGGTGGAGGGAGCCGGACCTAGGGAAGGTAGCTTCGTTCGGGTTGCTAACGTCTTCCCTTGGAGATGGGCGCGCAAACGGACCAGTGGGTCTGGGGGCGGCTGTGATGGGCGTGGAGCTGGCCCAATGAGGGTGGGAGTGGGTGGAGCAGCCGGAATAGCAGTGCTAAAGGAGCCCGGCGGAGGCAGCGGTGGGTTTGGGACTGAGGAGCCAGATCTGTGGTCGCGGCTGGGAACGTACGTCGGCGCCACCATCTTCAGCTGAAGGTGAGAGGTGCGGCTGCCGGGTCCGAGTTTGGCGGCTGGAGGCGGGGAGGCAGTTTGGACCGGGAAGAGAAGGATCCTAGTTGGGGCGGCCTGGAAGGGCGGGAACGGAGCGAGAGTGGGAGCTGGGGGAAGGCAGAAAGGGCTCTGGGCGGGAGGGTTTGTGTTGCAGGGGTCGTAGATTCGTGCCTGGAAGGACCTCGGCGGCACTGGAACCTCGTGGGTGGAGAGACCCCTGGAAGGGCAGAGAGTGAGGTCCTGAAGAGTGAGACCCCTGCAGGCATTAGGGCCTGGTTGTGCGCGGGGACGCCCCCTGGGGGAGGGGGTTGGTTGGGGATGGAGATCTGGGGATGGGAATGTGGGGGCCTGGTTCTCGGTGTGTGGGACCCCTAGAGGTGCAGGGTGATGTGGACTCGTGCCCTAGTGGGAGTGGGGGGTCCGGGGATGTCCCGCGGGTTTGTGTCTGCCTCCCAGGAGGGGAGGGGTTCCTGGGGGGAGCTGGAAATTGCGATCGCGGTTGGGGCGCTGGACAGGAAAGGCCCCTGGGTGGGTCGCCGGGTCAGCTGGGCCGGGCCGGGCGCCCCGGTACGGTGGAGGGGCTTGCCGAGGGCTTGGAAGGTTGGTGGCGCGTCCCGGTTGTGTGGGGTGGAGGGGCGGAAGGGTAGGGGGCTCTGCGCGGCCGGGAAGCGCGCAGCGGGTGAGGGGCTGAGCAGCCGGCCGTCCCGTGGGGAGGGTCGTACTCTGCTGGTGCTGGGAAGGAGGGCCGGGCGGGCGGCGAGGGGGCGTCGTGTAACTCCTCCCGGGACCTCCGGGGCCGGGCTGGACGTTCGGCGAGGCCCGGGCTGTTTAGGGGGGCGAGGCGGGAAATGCGGCGGGGGCGCGCTGCAGCAGAGCGGTCGGGGGGAGGGTCAGCCCTCGCCTCGGGATCCCTTTATTGTGTAAGTTGTCGGGTAATGGCTCGCTGCCTTCTCTTCCTTGCCTTCTGCAGTTGGAGTCACATGCTGGTCCCATAAAATTGGACTGGAATGGGGTCAGAGGGAAGTTGGCGGGGGCTTTGTGGGCCTGCCGGGCGGATGTGATCCAGGGACGGAGGAGGCCCCCAGCCAGGCCTGCCTGGGATCTGGAGCCTTAGGCAGGAGGGTTGCGATTCGGCGGGTCGGAACAGGGGCTGGTGAGGTTTGGGTAACGTGGCCTCTGCTTATGACCGTTATCTGTGTTTTTTAGGGCCTCTGCAGCTCCCTTCAAGATGACTGCGGTTGATGGAAGGGGGTGGGGTGGACTCGGGTGGGGTAGGGAAAGCAGGCGGGGTAGATCCAGACTGCAAATGAAACAAAGACTGTTATTTTCGCTGAATAATATAATACTAAATATAATATTTTGACTTTGCTGAGGTGTTGGGGTTTTTTAAACATTGAAACTGAAGATTCTTTGAGTCAGGCTTAATAATTCTTATATTTGATGGTATGTCACTCCAGAAAACTTGAATCTTATTTATTGTTTGATCACCTTCCATCAGTCTGGCCTTATTAGTGATTATTTTAGCCCATGCTTTTAATGTTTAAGTATGCCCTGCCTGCCTCACATTCTGGAAAAGTGGCCATTTTATGCGTCTCCTTACTTCTGCATCTTAAATTGACCCCTTTCTCATCGTTATCTGGAGAAAGCATATGGTGTAATTGTGTGATATAGCACGAGCTTTTGCAGCAATGGGATGTGACCTGGGAGATGGTTACAATGGAGACAGACTGGATGGAAGGTAGTGAGGTGGAGGAAAATTTGAAGGGCACGTTGTATGGGGAAACTATGCTTCAGCCGTTTGCATACTTCATCATCACATAACGGGGAATTAAGATTCTTGATATTGGGTCCAGTTTTGGAAATAATTTAGCAGTGTGAAGATAACAATTATGAGCTATAAATAGCTGTAGTTTCCTTTTGCATTTAGTTAGTACTTACGGTAATTTGGTTAAGCAGAATTTTGATGCATTAGCAGACTTGCGCATCTCAGCTGTGGTGCTACACAAATTGGGACAGTTTTGCTGTAGGTTCTCTATCTTGGAGGAATGCTGTATCATGGATAATTTATTCATCTTTTCTTTATTGTTGTTTTTAAATATGCAAGATATGCATAACATTGAATTGTTTTCTTGTAGCTACCTACAGTTGTTGTTGTTATGTGCCATCGCGTGGGACCTGACTCATAGCGACCCCTCCTTGGGTTTCCAAGGTGGTATCACTACTGAAGTAGATTGCTCAATCGTCCTTCTGAGGAGTCGCTGGTGGGTTTGAACCGCCAGCCTTCTTGTTAGCAGTCAGATGCCTTAGGCACCACGCTACCAGAGTTCCCACACCTACAGTAGGTGTAGTTGAGAAGTTTGCTGGGTGACATTTCATTGGAAGTTAAAAAATGGCCTGGGGAGGGACGGAGGCCTAGAAGGGAAGGTGAGTGTATGTCTGACACCAATAAATGAAGTGGAGCTTTGTGCAGGGGGCTAATTCATACTCAGGTAAATGCTTTAACTATAATTAGGTAGTTATTTCAAGCAGTACGAGAACCTTTAGGTTATCTTTAGGTCTGCTACAAGGTTCTGGTTTATTCCCCCCGCCCCCAAGTACAGGTATAAAATATATTTATCTTGTATAAATATAAAGCCTTTGCCAGAGTGTGGCAGTGTATTCAAACTTGGTGACCATTGGCTAAGCCTTCATATACTCTTAAGTCACAATTGATAGGGTTTTTATTTAGTTGAAAGGCAGTATATAGTGTACTACCGGCCATTCAAAATTCCCTCCCTCTCACCCATCATTGTAGTGAGCATTCCGGAGCCCAGCTCTGGGTATAATCACAGCTCTGCTACTTGCCAGCTGTGTGACCTTATGCCAGGTATTGACTTTGTCTGTGCCTCAGATTTCTCCTCTGTAGAATGGAACTATTAATAGTATCTACCACACACATACATATATATGTACACACACACACACACACAAAAATATGTATGTATGTGTATGTATCTATATCTATCTATATGTATATAGCTTAGACTTGTACCTGGCCATAGTTAGCAGTATACAAGAACAGCGTTTGTTAGTTTTTAAGTTGTAGTATTCTTTCAACAAGGCAAAACATTTTGGAATGGTACATTGTTAAATACTAATATTGTCAAGATTGGGTACCAAATAACAATGAAATGAAAAAAATGCATGGCAATCACAGGTTAAGAATTAAAATTAACAAAACATCTTCACTGGCTTCATGAAGTCCATTAGTTAAACAACAGTGTTGTTGTTATGGGCCTTTGAGTCAGACCTGACTCATAGTGACCCCTCCTTGGGTTTCTGAGAAGTGGCTGGTGGGTTTGAACCACCAGCCTTCTGGTTAGTAGTCAAGTGCCTTAGGCACTACGCTACCAGAGCTTCTGTACTAAATAACAGTTGTTGTTGTTATGTGCTATCGAGTCAGCCCTCGACTCATAGCGACACTCATAGCGACCCCGAGGCAGTATCACTACAGAAGTAGATTGCCCAATCTTCCTTCCTTCCGAGGAGTGGCTGGTGGAAACAACAGTAGTTAGGGCAAAAAGAATGCAGGAAGGGCAGTACAGAATGTTAATAGAAAGATTAAATTGCTAGGTTGATCTGTAAAGAACTTCTGAAAGGGTGACATTTAGGTCGGGATTTGAAGGAATGATAGATTTTTTGTTGTGGAGAAGTTGAAGCTTGCTATGAGGCTTGGGGCCATTCATGTAATAAAAGTCTGAATCATCCCATACTTTGTATTCGGTACTAGGATGAGTGCTTGAGATATAGCAAGGAATAGGAGACTGTTCTCATGGTGTTTAGTTCGTTGTAGAAGAATCTAGAAAAATGACATGAACTGTCTTCACAGTGTTTCATTGTAGAAAAATCTGGAAAAGTAAAAAGTAAAAGTAATTTGTAATCCCACTTCATTAGCAATAAACAAACCAAAAAAAGCAAACCCACTGCCATCAAGTTAATTCCGACCCATAGCAACCCCCTTTGGGTTTCCACGGAGATAGATCTCCCCATCTTCCTTCCATGGAGTGGCTGGTGGGTTTGAACCTCCAGCTGTCTGGTTAGCAGTCAAATGCCTTATCCACTATGCCCCTAGAGCAAAACTCAATAGTAGCTACTATTGCTAATACCGTGAATATTTTTTCCTTGCATTTTTAAATTCATATGCATCGATTTCCCCCCCACAAAATTGGGAGTGTTTTATGATTAATTTTGTGATCTGCTGTTTTTTTCTAAATGTGAAATTATAAGCATTTTCCCACCTAGATTTACATTTAAGAGTTACAAAGAAGCTAGAAAAAGTACTGATTAATTAAAAACATACTAATTAGATAAAATAATTTTTTAAATATATACTTTTATAAAAGAAGACTTGCTCTGGAAATGACCTGCTAATTTATTCTTATCTATAGTTGTTCACTGCATTTAAGCATATAATTAACATGCTCAGTGTAAAATTAAAGAAATACATATGTGCCTACTGGCTACAAGGTACTTTCCTGGGTTTTAAAAAAAGGATTAGAAATAGTCTTTTTCCACTTTATTGTGTAAAAGGTATAGTAAGGATTACAAGA